ACAATGGAGCATCAGGTGTAGGGGGAGGTTACTCAGTGGGAGGGAGTGGTAGTCGCATGCAACTATTAAGCCGGAGGTGGAGGAGGATCATATTCTGGTGGCATGAGTTGCTACCGTGCAACTGGTGGAAATTCCAATGATCAGGGCCTTGCGGTGCAAATCATTCTGTTATTGGGTATAGGTTACGGTAGTTTACGATTTGAAGACAAGATCTTTTAAAACATAAGTTTTCTAAGGGGCTTTGTCACGCAGTTTAGGGCAGCACTTGGAAGTTGAAACCAAATTGAATTAACTTCTTTTATCGATTATTATTATTATTATTATTATTATTATTATTATTTTGTCATTAACAAGTTTTTTCGCCAATGTTAAGTTTGATACTAATGATAGCAAGTGTCCGGAAAACCACACAGCTAAACAACAAGGACTATTACACTGTCTAGCCATTTGACCTTTGGGGAAATGGTCCTCTCCACCCAAAAAACGCGAACGTATTGTGTGTAAGCGATATTCCGAGCGAATTTTTTATTGGTACCAAAAAAAAAAAAAATATATATATATATATATATAGTTGCAAATGAAGGTTACAAAGGCAAGTCCTAGACGCACAGTTAGAGATATCCGAGGTGGGTGACAATACCTGAACCTTTCTCACAAAGGACATGGCCTGCAAGCGGTTGTGCCTGAAAAGTACTAAAAAATCGTGAAGATACCGATAGTTCCGATAGGAATGACCCCCCGAAATTAACGTCAATTTTTTGTGGCCGCTAGTAAATCCCGAAAGTAGCGCCCCCTCCCCCGAAAGTAGCGACCTCCCGAAAGTAGCGACCCCCCTCCCCAGAAAGTAGCGAGACCAAGTTTTTTAAATTGTATACCGTATGCCTTTAAATTGTCAATCAATAGTCAAGATTTTAATGTACAATAATATGTTCGTGCGCATGCAGTGTCACAAATTGTTCACGATAAGGCACTCTAATTTACAACAAGGGGAAGCTTTCTGCCCCCATTCGTCCTTGACATCAGTTCACTGATGTAGCGATGTAAGAACTACCGTAAACCGGCATCAGTAATTTCGTATTAACAACAGGAACGTTTCTTCAAATTGAAATTGAAAACTCTATATAGTTTTCGTCGATTAACGTGAACTTGTTTCTTCCAATTAAATGACACTGAGATACCGGTACCGGGCACAGACTAAAACGCAGCGGTGCGTCATGCAGGACAATCGAAGCAGTTTAGCTTTCCACCTCTGAGTCAGCGAAGAACTCGATCTCCTCTACATCGGCTGATTCCCCCATGTGGTAGTCTGGTAAACCATCGATACCATCGGAAAAAAAGCTCGTGCCAGCTCTATTTGTAAAGGATTTTTTTTCCCCGAGAGTAACGATCTACCGAAAGTAGCGACCCCCAAAGACTGCTAATTCCGAAAGTAACGAGGGTCGCTACTATCGGAACTCTACGGTATGCTGGTAAAAGATAAGAAAGAAATCATACTCAGATAATTCTTCACCTAAGGTAGGAATAACGTGATATGGAAAATGTTAATGCCTGAAATGGGGTGCTTTGCTCGTGCCATCGGCTAATGGTGAATTAAAGTTCGGCAACACTGCGACAAGATTTTGAGAGCTTTTGTGAAAGTTTCACAGATGCTCAAAAGAGTCAAAAGCATTTTATTTGGTTGTTTTTAAGTTGTTTTTTTTTTCACAGGTCGTCAAGAACATTTTCCTTAACAATTTGGTGCCAATATTGAGAACGCGTAAAATACCCAAGGAAGCTTTGGCTGACGAGCAAAAAAAAAAAACAATAAGGTTAGCCTGATTGCTTCATATATTTCTTTACATTTTACATTTTTTAGCTTGGAGTCCATTCCAAGTCCACTGAATTTCTGTGTTTCAGAGACCTTTGATAAGGAATCATACTCATTACTGCACCTTAGCTCGAACTAGAGCACAAAACTTTTCTCTGTCTAATTTTGAGACCCGAAAATCAATTCCCTTCAATCAATTCAATGCAAGACCAATTCCCTTTGCCTTTTACGCAGAGAGAACCACACTCGATAGAGCGCGTATCTGCAAGACTGGGACTGATCCCAGCCTCTGGTCCAGGGACTTCTTACTGAACCAAACAGTTTTGTAATAAGAAGGCATTAATTTCAGCATGCAAAACGAGCATATTTTAAAGCACTTCCTAATTTGTTTCTAGCTGATTAGTGTCTTAGTCTTTAGTTTATGGCATCCTCAAAGAGGTTGAACTTGTTTATGAAAACCCCGTGGATTCTTCAGCTTTAACACGTTTCCTTTACATCAGAGTTGTTATCGATGAAGATAACACCAACACGATTTACAGCTCCGTCGCCGCTGAATTTGAAAGGTCTGACGTTCGGTTCTGTGCCCGCCAACTGCAACGTCCACAAGAAAAGATGACACTAATCTTCTTCAAAATAATTTTGTATTCTCGTCTGAAGCGCCTGTTGGTAGCGCCATATATAAAGGGGTTAATAGAGCTACTTAAGTAGGCCAGAAACCCGTAAGTAAGGTACATCTGTCTTGGCAAAGTGGGCTCCCCGCGTGCTGCGTCGATGTAATCCGTAATACAGATAGGAAGCCAACACAGTGAGAAACTGGCCATGACCAAGGCTAATGTCTTGGTCACTTTGGCGTCTTCGACGTTTGCTCTGAGCTGTTCAGGGTTATTTTCTTGTGTGAAAACACGATTTGATCTTGACACTGTGTAGAACACTTTGGCGTAGCAGAAAGTGATGAATGTAAAGGGCGCAGCGACAAACACACATTCGATGAAGACGGTATAAGCAATGTTACTTTGGAATGGGTACATGCACATTGCTTTTCCTGGTTGGAAAGTGTATCCGCCTGTCTGAAAAATTAGCGGAGGCACTGAGCCAATGAGAGACATACACCATACTGCCGCAGTGTATATCAAAATTCTTTGCCTCCGGAATAATACAATGTACCTCGTTGGTTTCACCACGCAAAAATATCGGCTAACTGCAATGACCCCCATAGTAAGTAGAGATGATATCGAAAACGTTAAAATTGCAAAGCCCTGCAGTCGACAAACAGTAGGCCCGAATATCCATCTGCCTTGAACGAGAGTAGCAATTGAAAGAGGCATACCGCAGACAGATACTAATAAATCGCTAACAGCCAGTGCTATAACAAACATATTGGCAAGCGAACGAAGTCTCTGATTTCTATACACGGCGTAGCAAACAGAGATGTTACCAGAGATGGCCATCATGTTGACGATAGCAAGGAAAACTGCTTCAGTCCAGATTAAAGGCGGTGCTCTTTTGAGGAGCTCTCTGTAAAGCAAATGTTCCATAACGGGGCTGACTCAAACGGATTCGTTAAAAGAATTCAGAAAAAACGTGTCAAGATCTTTAATTTGTGGCCAGGCTTTGAGCTCTGCTGTTTTCGATGTTTGAGGGAAGTAGTCTTTTTACGGCAGGTGTTTGTCTCGTTTCATTTATGAAAATGTTTTCTCAGTAGTTATTTATATAAATACGTATACCAAACAAGAAAGTAATTTGAATTCCTTCTTTCACAGCCAAGAATTAAACAGTGGCAATATATAGTTCCAAAAGTAGAAATATCCTAGTAGCCAAGAGCGTCTGCCTCTCCGTCCGTTAGGGTACTGGATAAGATTTTCCAGAACACGGAGAAATTTGATCTTTGTCACTCAATCAAGCCGTCCGTTGGTTTCATTCACTTCGCAGACACGGCTGCGGCCGCACTTGGGAACTTTACCGGGGTATTTCCAATTAACTAATTAAAGTCAAAACGTACAAAAAACTCCGAGTGCCGCCGGATTTTCTACAGTCTTGACCGAGTTCTAAGCGGGTTTTTATGGCGAGTTTTCCTTATCAAAATTCAACTGTTCCGCTCGTTTTTAAGATTTGACATTCGTATTTTTCAAAGTCAACATTCGTTTTCAAAGTTCGTCATTCGTCTCTCAAGGTTGACGTTTGTTTTTTTTTTTTCGATTGAACATTTTTATTTTGTTTTTCAAGTTTGACGTTCAGTTTATTCAATTGAACATTCGTTTTTCAACTCTGACTTTCGTTTTATTCCATTGAGCATTTGTTTTTCAACTTTGACGTTCGTTTTATTCCATTCAACATTTTTTTTATTCGGCATTTGTATTTTAAGTTTGACATTTGAGTTATAAATAGCAGCAATCTTTTTTCAAATTTGACATTCGTTTTACAATTTCAACATTCGTTGTTTGTACAACTCAAAATCTTAAACGTCGATAAAACGGCTTCCAAATGACTCAAGAACAAAAGATGCTGTGAATAATAAAACAAAACCAACAGGGGAGTCATTTTATCTCTATTTTTGTCAAAAAATGGAATTTAGGACGTATTTTGCTTATTTTCATACATTCTCTTATAAAATCAAAGTCTTACGAACTCCCACAGAGTCTGGGCCGCCTGTGCTGAAAGAGGCATACAGCAAACCGATATTACTAAATCACTATCAGCCAGTGCTATAACAAACATAATATTGGCAAGCGAATGAAGTCTCTGGTTTCTATGCGCGGGCGTAGGAAACAGAAATCTTCCCAGAGATAGCCATAAGAATATGTTGATGATAGGGAGGAAAATTGCTTCAGTCCACATTAAATGCTGTGCTCTTTTGAGGAGCTCTCTGTAAAGCAAATGTTCCATAACGTAGCTGACGTAAACGGATTTGTTGAAAGAATTCAGGAAAATCATGTGAAGATCTTTAATTCGTGGCCAGGCTTTGAGCTCTGCTGTTTTCGATGTTTGAGAGAAGTAGTCTTTTTACAGCAGGTGTTTGTCTCGTCTTATTTATAGAAAATGTTTTCTTCATTTTCATTTCATTTCCGCAGTTCATATATGATTTATTGATCTATCATTAACAAAAAATGTTTTCTCAGTAGTTATTTATATAGATGCTTTTCACAGTGTCGTCATTAAATTGTAAAGTCAAAATACAAGATAAACAAAAAATAAATCTTTGTACAAGTTTCCAGTCCCGTAGCAAGATTCATTTCGAAAATAAAGCAATTTGAAATTCCGAGTTTTCACAATGCATGACACCAAAGTAGGAATGCTGTCTAGTTAAAAAAAGTATCTTCCAAATGACTCAAGACGAAAAGAGGCAGTAAATAACAAAACAAAACCAAGAGGGGAGTCATTTTTATTTCTATTTTTGTCAAAAAAATGGAATTTAGACCTTTTTTGCTTAAGTCTCACGAACTCCCACATAGTCTGGGCCGCCTGTGCTGAAAGAGGCATGCAGTAGACAGGTATTACTTACATCCTCGGGGACCCAGGGGCAGTCAGTCGGGTCGGGAGAAAAGGCGGGATGAAAGTTTTCAAGTACGGGCGAAAGAGCCCCTGGTACCGACACTCACCGAGCTATTTCCAAACATTCAAGCGGATGGCGACTCCTGACTGGGCACAAAAAATGCTTTGTATTAATGTGCCCAATCGGCGAACAGTTTCTCCTAAGTTCTTTTCGTGAGTTCGTGCTCGACGGCTATTGTCTCGATCACGGCTTGTCTGGCTCATGCACAGAAATGCACGCAGTCAGGAAACTTTCAGTTTCAATTAAAATCCCCAGCTGATTTCAAAATACTGTCTGCCCGAAAACTAAAGACGCTAAATACAGGCTTGAGCTTGCAACAGGTATTAACGCTTGCATCTGTCACGTCTTGCATAAATATTAGGGAGTTTTTAAAAGATACCACGACGACTGACAACCACGAAAACGTCTCATGGAAAAGTGAATTCACATTTTTTCAGTTTCTATCGTGATTAGTCGAACTCACTTACATTGTCAAATTCAAGCGAACTCTTCTGGAGCTGAATTTCTATCAACCATATTCAAGTTGATGAAGAGAATGAATTTTGTCATTGCTTGTTTACGTCCTTCACAAAACATGACTGATTAGGCATTTTCACGGGTAGCTGTGCAGTTGATGGCAAAGAAATGTACAAAAAAGTGTGATGCATGTGCAAAGCTTTTTTTTGCCTTGTCAAGCTATTGCTTATTTGACTTTCTCTCGTCGCCGCCGCAACTTAAACTTCCAATTACTTACGATATATTGTGATGAGTCAAAAACAGAATATTCTCGGGGCAAATTGAATTGCTCCTGCTGATAGCATCCCAAACGTTTTTTCGTCTGATCGGTAGTTCCTTCGTTTCTGGTTAGGAAAGTAGAAAATAAAAGTTTCCCTTGCACGCACAAGCTTAGTGAACGAACAGGGCAAGTGTGGCAAGACAATTGCCGTCTTGTACGAACTCACGAAAAGAACTCAGGGGAAACTGTTCGCCGATTGGGCACAAAAATACGAAGCATTTTTTTGTGCCCAATCAGGAGCCGGCATCCGCTTGAAGTTTTGGAAATAGTTTGATGACAGTCGGTACCCAGGGGCTCTTTCACCCGTACTTGAAAACTTTAAATTTCGTCCCGCCTTTTCTCCCGACCCGACTGATTACCCCTGGGTCTCCTAGGATGGTATCACTAAGGGACCGGTCATTATTTATGTAAAGGGGGGTGTGGAGGGAAAAAAGAAGGGGATTAAGGCTATGTCAGATTGGCTAGAGAGGGGGGGGGCTAAACATTTTTATAAAGAGGTTTAGTAGGGGTCAGCAGTTTGATCGCCAGGTATATTTTAAGATGGGTCCATTGGCTAAGATGGGTAAAGCAGTTACATGAAACTAAATTATATTTATAACAATTTAATGGCAATAAATTAAGTGATGGACATAATAATGATAAAAAAGGCCATCAGGACGATTTGCAACGGTTATGCTAGTCCTATTACTTTTTGTTTAAGCACCACTATTTTGTACAACTTAGTCATTTGTATTTGACAGAAATTCTGTTTGCACTCTAAACTTCATTGTTATTTCAAATTTTAGCTAATAAAGAATCCAGACCTATCTGCTTTAATATTTGGTCTGACTGAATTTCCTTATAACAAAATGCTTGTCACTTTAGTAGTGCAAGAAAAACATCATTAAATAACAAGAAAGTAGTCCTTTTACAACTGTAGGAAAACCATTTGAAAAGAATTATATTTTGCAGGGTTATTACATCAGGGGCACCCAACAACAATTTTCGGGAAATATCTGTTCGGAAGACGATTTGAGATCTAGAATTTTCGGAACATTTTTTCCAAAATTTCTTGCTTGTCTGCCTCTCCTAGGATTTTCGAACATCTAACAAATGGTATAATTGCCTATTTTTAACGGATTTTTACCTCAAAAAGGTCACCTACAATTTTCTGGAGCCTTTTTTTCTGGCTGAAATTTTCGAAAAGCTAAGTTTTGATCCCTGTAATTTTCGCATCACTAGACTTTCAGCTAGGAAATCCGAACAGGTGAAATATTTTTAGGGGATAAAAATATCCCTATACCTACCGTTTTAATACTAAAATATGTTTAACAATTCTATATTCAAGTGGTTTTGAACTATATTCTCGTTGGGTGCCCCTGTTACATTGTGTTCACCATGAAGGCACTATTTTTAATAATCTATCACTTTTCTTCTACTTAACAAAACAACACTTTTATGAGTTGAAAGTATGTTACATGCATTTTAATACTTTAATTACTTTGCAGCGGAATAATACACAAACTGCTTTTACAAACATCAGAAATAACAAATGCATTGTATAACTGACTTTATAATATCGAACTTGACGTTTCGCCTGCTTCAACATACATCTTCAGAAGTGACCGTTAACATGAGTAGTAACTATATTTAAAGCAAAAACAACGAAGTGAGATAAAAGTCAGTTATTCAATGCGTTTGTTATTTCTTGTTCCTGTTATTTCCTTTTAAAACTGAGATGGCCAAAAATCAATAGCATTTACGATATACTTTGTAGAGCATATATAAGAGGAGATATGAGGTGGGGGAGGGGGTCATCAAGTAAATATTGAATAAAGTAGTTGGGGCAGTTGCTATTTACAAGGTCTGCAGGGGGGCCTTACAGAAATTTTAATCTTTTCAACATATTTTTCTCTTACCCCCCTCTACACTGGAAACAGAAATGTTACAAGAGATGGCCACATTATGTTGATGATAACAAGGAAAATTGCTTCAGTCCAGATTAAATGTTGTGCTCTTTTGAGGAGCTCTCTGTAGAGCAAATGTTCCATAACGGGGCTGACTTAAACGGATTTGTTGAAAGAATTCAGGAAAATCATGTGAAGATCTTTAATATGTAGCCATGCTTTGAGCTCTGCTGTTTTCGATGTTTGAGGGAAGCAGTCTTTTTACAGCAGGTGTTTGTCGCGTCTCATTTATGAAAAATGTTTTCTAGATCTCAGTAGTTATTTATATAAATACCATGCAAGAAAGTAATTTGAATTCCTTCTTTCACAGCCCAGAAAAAAAGTGGCAAAATATACCTCCAAAAAGAAGAAATATTCTAGCAGCCACAGAGCGTCTGTCTCTCTGTTTTCCAATAATACATGGAGAAATTTGACATTTGTAACTTAAGCCGTCCGTTGACTTCATTCACTTCGCAGACATTTTCTTGTTTGTTATGGTTTACGGGTTTATTAAAACTTGAAATTAATTCATTCGCATCCAACATCTTCGTAAAGAATATGTCTCATTTCATTTGTGAAGAGATAATGTACGGTTAGGCCTGGTCTGAAAATAACTTTACTTATGCCAAATGCAACAGAGCGTTCGTACTCTATTATGAGAAATATACTACATTAGAGTTTGAAAAACAATCTATTCTAATTGAAATTTTTATTATGATGCCGACAATGATTCTTATTAAATATGCACACCAATCGTCCGAGACTTGCATTTCTTTTCCAAGTTTATCAAAAAGTTTAATGGCGATTATAATGCACTGCGACAACTTGTATGTACAAAATTTAAAGCTCCAACACCACTAAACTTGGCGGATTATCGGACGGTCGATTCTGTCTTCAGCTGAAACGGCCACAAGTAAAGATCAAACTAATTTTTTTCAAAATAGTTTTGTACTCTTGTCTGAAGCGCCTGTGGGTAGCGCCATATATGAAGGGGTTAACTGCACTGCTTAGGTAGACCAGAAACCCGTATGTGAGATACACCTTACGTGGCAAAGTGGGCTCCCCGCGTGCTGCGTCGATGTAATCCATAATGCTAATAGGAAGCCAACATAAGGAGAAACTGGCCATGATCAAGGCTGATGTCTTGGTCACTTTGGCTTCTTCGACGTTTGCTCTGAGCTGTTCAGGGTTATTGTCTTGCGTGAAAACGCGATTTGATCTTGACACTGTGTAGAACACTTTGGCGTAGCAGAAAGTGATGAGTGTAAAGGGCGCAGCGACAAACACACATTCGATGGAGACGGTATAAGCAATGTTAGTTTGGAATGGGTACATGCACATTGCTTTTCCTGGTTGGAAAGTGTATCCGCCTGTCTGAAAAAATAGCGGAGGCACTGAACCAATGAGAGCCATACACCATACTGCCGCAGTGTACATCAAAATTCTTTGTTTTCTGAATAAAACAATGTACCTCGTTGGTTTCACCACGCAAAAATATCGGCTAACTGCAATAACCCCCATTGTATTTAGAGACGCCAATGAAAACGTAAACATCGCAAAACCCTGTAGTTGACAAACAGTAGTCCCGAATATCCATCGGCTTTGAAAGAGAGTAGCAACTGAAAGAGGCATACAGCTGACAGATATTAGTAGGTCACTGACAGCTAGCGCTATAATAAACATGTTGATAAGCGAACGAAGTCTCCGGTTCCTATACACGGCGTAGCAAACAGAAATGTTTCCAGAGATGGCCATTATATTGACGATAGCAAGGAAAATTGCTTCAATCCAGACTAGATACTGTGCTCTTTTGAGGAGCTCGCTGGAATGCAGATGTTCCATAATACGAGGCTGATTCAAACGAATTCGTTGAAAGTATTCAGCGAAATCTTGGGAAGATCTTTGTAATAGTTTGAACTCTACTGTTTTCAACGTTTAAGGGAAGTAACCTTCTATACTGGATCAGGTGTTCGTGTCATTAATGAAAAATGTCAAATCAATAATTATTTATATCAACACCAAGTTTGAAGTTAATTTGAATTCACTGTTTACAGCTAGCAAAGACTCAAACAGCTGCCCCAAAAAGAAGAGATATCCTAGTAGCCAAGAGTGTCTGCCTCTCCGTCATTTAGGGGTAAACTAGGGCGCTTAACATCCGACGACGGCGACGGCAACAAGAACGTCAAAAAAAGGTTTCATAACCAAAACAACAATTTTGCACGCGCATCACGCTTTTTTGCCATCTTTTTTTGCCATCACTGCACGACTACGACGTGAAAATGCCTATTTTCACTTTTTACAGCGGAAGTACACAATTAAGCGACGACGAAATTTCATCTCTCTCTTTGAACTTGGATATGGTTCTTTAGGAATTCAACTTTTAGGAGGGTTCACCTTTGATAAAGTTAGTGACTTGGAGTAATCGCGATGAAGATTGAAAGAACGCGAATTCACTTTTTCAGCTACGTTTTCGCTGCCGTCGCCGTCCTCAGATCTTAAGGTCCCTAACGTTTTCCAATGCACGAGGCAATTCGATAGTGGTCACTTAAGTAGTCGGGTAAGCTTCATTCACTTCGCAGACGTTTCCTTGTTTGTGATTGGTTTATGGGTTTATTAAAACTTGAAATTAATTCATTTGCATCCAATATCTTCCTAAAGAGTATTTTCATAAAACTATGTAAGGTTTGAACCCATGTGTCATTTCAAAAGTAGGTTGAGTTTGATCGTCCGGGTGAACGTAGTCCAACACTCAAACCAACGTCAACTCTGGCCCTGTTACGACAGCGACTATACCGTACATCAGAGGCACCTCTGAAACTATCGCACGTATACTACAACCTTGCAATATAAGTGTTGCACACAAACCGATAACCACTTTACGACGACTACTTACTAATGTTAAGGACAAAGACAGTAGAGAAGTATACAAGATCAAATGCTGGAACCGACAGAAACCTTAGCACGCGAATGACCGAAAACAAATGAGCGACGAGAAATGGTGGCGTCAACAATCACATTGCTGAACACCATTTACAGACGGAACATCAAGTCGACTGGGACTTTGCAACATGTATTACGTATTCTACAGACTACTATCAACGACTCACTTTAGAAAGCTGGTTTACCAACTTAAAACAAACGCCACTGAATCGTAGTCAACAGTTACCGGCACCGTAAAAACGACTTATTGACAAAATCAAGCACAACTTACTACGAGAAAACGACTGGACAAGTGACAATTTGCCTAACAATAGACGGATCGAAACGCACTAATAACATTACGAGTCTTCATAGCCAATAATATCACGGCTTAACTGAAAGACGACCAATAACATCGCGACGTAATTGACCAATCAGGGCCAGAGTATAATACCATCAACTGGCGTGATACAACTTATTTTGACTCTGAAGATGACTTCCGCTATGCCTAGGTACAGTGATCCGGATATTTTTAAAGGCATTTAGAAGATTTGGCGATATTTAGAAAATGTCATGACATTTAGAAAAAAAATGGGATATTTAGAATTTTGTTACGAAAAAAGTACTGAAATCATGTTTTTTCTAAGAAGCTACTTCAATGCTAATTAGGGCATGGGCATTTGAGTGACAGAAATTCAAACAAATCTCCACATATGGGCCTGTTGTAATCAGATTCAGCAATATCCTCCATTTTTAATATATGCAATGTGGCTAATGTTCAACAAATGGCTGAGGACGTACCCTTTAAGCCACGCCCAAACCAAACGGCAGTGTCCCTTTTAGACCACTTAAGACCTCCAGCACCTAATGTTCTTTCACGGTCTAAGCCTGTATTAAAGTGCAGTGCCCTAGTCTTCTTGAAGGCTGAGGGGTGCTGTAAATAAGGCTGAATTTATATGAAATTGCTTAGAGTTTTGTAGTATGCTGTACCAGGATATAATTTCCTAAAATTTGCTGAAATTTCTGTCGCAATTTTAGATGAGCGGCTTGTTTTGTTGTTTATACTGTTAAGTAATATTTATGAAATGAAGCCAGATATTTTTGAGATATTTAGAAGTTTTTGGAGATATTTAGAAAAACAATTGGGAACTTCCGGAAACATATTTAGGCAATTTTCGTGATATTTGTATCTAGGCCTAACTACCGCACAGGTTGTCGAAGCGTCACTCACTGTCAACAAGAACAGTGTTATTCAGGAATACGTTCACCCGGACGATCAAACTCAACCTACTTTTGAGTATTTCCATAATAAGGTCTCATTTTATGAAGACATAGTGCGGTTATTCTTAGCCTTGAAAATAACTTTACTTTATTCCTAATTCAACAAAGGCTTCGTACTCTCTTATAAGAATGATGGTAACTTAGAATTTGAAAAACCATCTATGCTAATTGAATTTCTTATCATAATGTCGAAAATGATTTGTCTTGTACATGCACATCAATCTTCCGAGAGTTTCGTTTCTTTTCCAACTTAAAAACTTTAATAGCGTTGATAAAAGAGTGCGACAACTTGTTTTCTAACAAAAATGCGATGGCCTGTCATTACAGGGTGCAAAAGCTAAGTTCATTACCACGCGTGACAGTTTTATTGCAAAGTGCGAGAGAATAGCATCTTTTCGAAATATTTTGTATTAAAAACCCTTTTAGACCTTGGTTTAGTGAAGGTATTAGGGATTCCAGGAGAGAAAGCCGGAGAGCTGAAAGAAAATGGCGTCGATCTCGATGTGTCCGTGATTTGCTTGAATTTAAAAAGAAGAGGAACTTTACAACCTACCTGATGAATGAAGCCCGTCGTAAGTCTTACTCAGACTTTATTGTTGAAAATAACTCCAATCAAAGGAGCCTATTCTCGACAACAAAGAGGTTGCTAAATCAAGGTCATGAAGTACCTTTTCCACCAACTAGTGACAAGCTGGTTTTATCCAATGAAATGGGTAGCTTCTTTGTTGAAAAGATTGACGCCGTCCATGTCAAATTGGACAGACTAGCTGATTGTTTGCATGATTCCCATTTTGACTGTGTGAAAACGTTACCAACTAGAACACTGGAAAGCTTTATCCCTTTAACTGAAAGTGCAGTTAGTAAGTTGATTGGCTGCTCTCCGAAGAAGAGCTGTATGTTTGATCCGATGTCAACACCTTTAGTAATCAGCTGTGCTGATGTGCTATTACCAGTCATTACTAAAATGATCAACCTGTCTCTTAATTTTGGAGAATTTGCTGATGATTGGAAATGTGGGCTTATTAATCCTATCTTGAAGAAACCTGGATTGGATTTGCTGTACAAAAATTACAGACCAGTTAATAACTTACAATACGTATCCAAGTTGACTGAAAAAGTCGTTTTTATTCAAGTTTACGATCACATGGTTTCAAATGCTATTTTTCCTGCCCTTCAATCTTGTTATAGGCAATTCCATAGCACTGAAACGGAACTTATCAAAGTGATGAACGATATTTTGTTAAAGATGAACTCTCAACATGTCACTTTGTTAATTTTATTGGATCTCAGTGCTGCCTTTGACACTGTTTATCATCGAATACTTTAGAGAGGCTATCTGACGAGGTTGGCATACGTTGGACTGCTCTGAATTGGTTTAGATCGTACTTGTCTGATAGAAGTCAGCGCGTTTCTGTACATGGAGTTCTCTCTCGTCCTTTTGACTTGAACTGCGGGGTACCCCAAGGCTCATGTTTAGGGCCTTTGCTATTCATAATTTATGCGTCTAAGCTGTTTAAGATCGTGGAACATTATCTTCCCGATGCTCACTGTTTCGCAGATGATACGCAGCTGTATCTGAGTTTTAAACCACTCGGCAACACTACTCAAGTTGATGCTATACAAGCTATGGAAAAGTGCATTGACGCGGTGAGTAAGTGGATGATTCAAGATCGGTTGATGATCAATGATGATAAAACGGAGGTTTTGTTGGTCGGCACACGACAACAGCCTGAACAGCTTGATAAACTACATTCGTGTTCCATTACTGTGGGCAATAATCGTATCAGTCCAAGCCCATGTGTTAAAAACCTTGGCTCGTGGTTTGACAGCAACTTAAGCATGACTGATCATATAAACAAGGCTTGTACTGCGGCATTTTATCATTTACATAACTTGAGACGTATTAAGAAATACCGGTCGAGAGATTCTTTAATTACTTTGGTTCATGCTTTTATAACCAGCCGTTGTAATTGTTTATTGTTTGGCTTACCAAAGGCAGAGATCGCTAAATTACAGCGTGTACAAAATGTAGCAGCAAGACTTATTCTTGGCATCGGAAAATTTTCTCACATTACAGCGGCGCTTTATGAGCTGCACTGGCTGCCGGTTTCTTTGCCTATTGACTATAAGATTTTACTTTTGACTTTCAAATGTATTTATGGCCTAGCGCCAACTTATCTTAGCGATCTTATTAGTATAAAATCGAATTCATTATATAACCTTAAGTCTACTGGTAAGCTCTTATTGGACCATCTCAAGGGAAACATGCTTACAACATTGGGAGCATGATCATTCTCAGCAGCAGCTCCGAAACTCTGGACTGGCCTGCCTGTGGAGCCTCGTCAAGCAACATCACTTATTTTTTTTAAATTTCGACTTAAAAGGTATCTTTTTAAGAAGTATTTTTGTAGTTTGTAACTAAGGTTATTTTATTCTCACGGTAATGTATTTTCGTTTTCTCTTAAACATATGATTGTAAAGCGCTTTTGATCAGCATATGTAAATACGCGCTATATAAATTCGTAGATTATTATATTATTAGTAAAATCCAACTAGTGGTCTATTATCAATGCTGCGTTCTGATTGGTTGAGCTACTACTAGGCTATATGTTATAGTCCACTAGTAGCGAAAAGCGGCGGCTTTCTGGCGGCAAAAAAGGATTCAAGTCTAGCTTAAAGTAGGTAAATTTTTTTCTATTCTCGATATTTTTGACCAACTAGTTGGATTTTACTAAAACAATTATTCCTCTCGCCCTTATGGCCCCTGAGTCAATAGCCCATTCGGCCTTCGTTTGGGCTATTGACTCAGAGCCCATTCGGGCTCGAGGACTAATTGCTAATTATTAGTAGTAGTAAAATTATTTCTTTTTTCAAAGCACTTTCGTCTACTCTTCGTTTTAAACTTGTTAGGTCTTCATTGTATCACCTCAAAAGGCCTTGAACTTGTCTAACATTGACATCTTGTTTTCCACATTTGTTTTAACATAGTTTAAAGCTCGGTCACCGCTAAAATTTGGTGGATTATCGAACGTTCCATTCTGTCTTCAGCTGCAACGACCACAAGTAAAGATCAAACTTATCTTTTTCAAAATAGTTTTGTATTCTTGTCTGAAGCGCCTATTGGTAGCGCCATATATAAAGGGGTTGATTGTACTACTTAGGTAGGCCAGAAACCCGTATGTAAGATATACTTGTCGTGGAAAAGTGGGCTCCCCGCGTGCTGCGTCGATGTAATCCATAATACAGATAGGAAGCCAACATAAGGAGAAACTGGCCATGACCAAGGCTAATGTCTTGGTCACTTTGACTTCTTCGACGTTTGCTCTGAGCTGTTCAGGGTTATTTTCTTGCATGAAAACACGATTTGATCTTGACACTGTGTAGAACACTTTGGCGTAGCAGAAAGTGATGAATGTAAAGGGCGCAGCGACAAACACACATTCGATGAAGACGGTATAAGCAATGTTAGTTTGGAATGGGTACATGCACATTGCTTTTCCAGGTTGGAAAGTGTATCCGCCTGTCTGAAAAATTAGCGGAGGCACTGAACCAATCAGAGCCATACACCATACTACCGCAGTGTACATCAAAATTCTTTGCCTCCGGAATAATACAATGTCCCTCGTTGGTTTCAGCACGCAAAAATATCGGCTAACTGCAATAACCCCCATTGTATTTAGAGACGCCAATGAAAACGTAAACATTGCAGCACCCTGGAGTCGACAAACACGGGTCCCGAAAATCCATCGGCCTTGAACGAGAGTAGCAACTGACAGAGGCATACAGCTGACAGATATAAGTAAATCACTGACAACTAGCGCTACAATAAACATATTGGCAAGCGAACGAAGTCTCTGGTTGCTATACACGGCGTAGCAAACAGAAATGTTTCCGGAGATGGCCATTATATTGACGATAGCAAGGAAAATTGCTTCAATCCAGACTAGATACTGTGCTCTTTTGAGGAGCTCGCTGGAATGCGGATGATCCATAATACGGGGCTGATTCAAACGAATTCGTTGAAAGTATGCAGCGAAATCTTGAGAAGGTCTTTGTAATAAATTGAACTCTACTGTTTTCAACGTTTAAGGAAAGTAGCCTTCTATACTACATCAGGTGTTCGTGTCATTAATGAAAAATGTCAGATCAATAGTTATTTATATCAACACCAAGTTTGAAGTTAATTTGAATTCACTGTTTACAGCTAGCCAAGACTTAAGCAGCTGCTGATGAATAAAGACTTTATTACTTTATTATTTTGTTTAAGCACCACTATTTTGTACAACTTAGTCATTTGTATTTGACAGAAATTCTGTTTGCACTCTAAACTTCATTGTTATTTCAAATTTTAGCTAATAAAGAATCCAGACCTATCTGCTTTAATATTTGGTTTGCCTGCGTGCAGACGTCTCCTATTTCCTTTGTTGCACGCGGAAAAGGGACGTCTGCGTAACGCCGTAGCTAATCGTGTTCCAGCGTCCTGCTGGGTTCCCAAGATCTTGGGAACACGCTGTGATAGGCTGACACACAGTGCGCATTGTTTGACTTAACGCTGATTGGTTGTTATCAAATGTGGTCTGATAATGTATGCGGTGATTTAAATGATTTATGTAAGCGGGGTTTTCTAACCAAAACAAATCAAAACATGTGCGATTGTGTGCTGTGGTTTTCGTCGATCGAAGAGCAGAGCGATCGAAATCTTGTGCGGGGACGCGGAAAATTTAACGTGTACGAGGAAATTATTTCTTTACAATTTACTGTGCATGACACATCACATCATATTTGTAAACAGTGTGTGAGAAAACTACAAAAGCGGCGTGGACTTCGCACCAGGCAGGCATTTCGGAGAAAGCCAGCCAAAGAAACTAAAATCTTTATTTAGCCGTAACAAACAGATGTCAAGAAAATTTAAACACTTTACAACTGCATCTGAAATCAAATCCAATCGGGAACACCCACAGAAGCATAAACCACAGGAAATGATTACTCAGTATGCATGTAACAAACCTGCTTCATTACCTCTAAATGGAAGACGTAGCGCGGCAAAAATGAGATTTACTCAGTCAAAGGTTAGAATGCTACATGCACTGTGTAGTGCTAGTAATCTTCGCGCGAGAGAGAAAAGAAGAAAAACCTCTGTTCAAGCAGACTCTCAAGGTCACGTTTCGCCCGTATCACGAGCTTACGATGTTTTGTTTGGCCTGTCAACTCTTATTTCTAACGGGATATTATTTCACAATTTATGCGAAATAGAATACCCTGCCAGCGGGACGCTAGAACACGATTAGCGACGGCGTTACGCAGACGCCCCTTTTCCGCGTGCAACAAAGGAAATAGGAGACGTCTGCACGCAGGCAAATATTTGGTCTGACTGAATTTTCTTATAACAAAATGCTTGTCTCTTTAGTAGTCCAAGAAAAACATGATTAAACAACAAGAAAGTAGTCCTTTTAAAACTGTAGGACAATCATTTGAAAAGAATTATATTATATTTTACATGGTTATTACATTTGTGTTCACCATGAAGGCACGTAATTTGTAAAAATCTATCAGTTTTGTTCTATTTAACAAAACCACATTTTATGAGTTGAAAGTAGGTTACATGCATTTTAATACTTTAATTACTTTGTAGAGGAATAATACACAAACTACTTTTACAAACATCAGAGATAACAAATGCATTGTATAACTGACGTTATAATATCAAACTTGACGTTTCGCCTGCTTCAACATACGTCTTCAGAAGTGACTGTTAACATGAGTAGTAACTATATTTAAATCAAAAACAACGAAGTGAGATAAAAGTCAGTTATTCAATGCGTTTGTTATTTCTTGTTCCTGTTATTTCCTTTTAAAACTGAGATGGCCAAAAATCAAGAGCATTTACGATATACTTTGTAAAGCATGTAAGAGGAGATATGAGGTGGGGGAGGGGGTCATCAAGTAAATATTGAATAAAGTAGTTGGTCACTTGCTATATACATGGTCTGCAGGGTAGGCCTTACAGAAATTTTGATCTTTTCAACATATTTTTCCCTCCCCCCGTCTACATAGGAAACAGAAATGTTACAAGAGATGGCCACATTATGTTGATGATAACAAGAAAAATTGCTTCAGTCCAGATTAAGAGGCAGTCTCCCTAAAAGCGGTCCACTCGATTTCGCGACAAAAAATACTTTTGCTTTATTTTTTGTCGGTGAAGAGGCTTTAGTAGGTGTATACTAAAATCGCTATTTTTGTTTTCAAATTCTTATTCTTAGCTCTGCTACAAGCCAAAAACGAATTGAGTCCGTCTCGGCTTCACAGAGAGTGTTTCGAAGACTAAAATTGATGGATTTTGAAAAGCGCGTTGCAAACAACCGAATGCTCGCACAAAAAATCTGTTCGATTCAGTTTTTTTAGTTAACCTTCGATAGTTCACTGGCTAAATAAAAATATCTTTGATCAAAACGTGTTCAAGTTACAGTGGTTCAAGGAATACCTATTTTGCAGTCTTGATCGAAACCTTGAAAGTAAGGAAGATTTGAGGCAAAATATCTCAAAAGTTGCGGCCTAAATCTGGTTTAAAAGTCATATCAAAGTAAAGTTTTAAGCTTATTTTTTTGGTTTATAGGCTCAGACTTGCGGGTATCTTCTGGGATTGCAACCAACAGTAGATTATAATCTGCCACTTTGCGTATTTGCATAATTACAGGCCGTGTCAGATGTCATGATTGTACAGGTTAAAAGTTCTCTAAAATTGCCTCTTTTGACACTTGAATTCGTCTCCGGCCTCTAAAAGAAAGTAATTAAGCTTCTTTAAGTACTTTTGAATCGAAAGAGATATACTAACAGGGATGGTCATGCATGTTACTGATTAACACCTGCCTCGTACCCAGACGTCTCTCTCGATGTGCGCGCAAAGGAAGGCGGGAAGGAGACAACGGGCGAGACGTCTGGCAGATCTTGCTTTCAAGATGGCGGCAAGAGTAATGGCGGACCAATATACAATTTTTAAAATAAGTTCAGTCCTGTTCATTTGCGAATTTTGAGCAAATCATTGCCTATCCACGTCGTGTGTGTGAAGAGGAAGCTGTTTTCACCCCACACATTGGACTCAAGTATCATAATGTTTACTACCGAACTACATAATGTTTACTACCGAACTTTATATCGAAAAACTACTAGCCGCGGACGGGACAGTACTGCCTTTAATTTAATGAAACTGCCGCACGCCAAGGTAACAGCCGGTCAGGAAAGTTAGTAAGTTAGTAATCGTTTCTGTTAAGGTCCCCAGTGATGAAACGATCTCTTCAGTCGAAGTGAAAAATGGCGAGCTGGGAATTGTTGCAACAGTCAAATGAAGCCAAATATTTTGTAAAGATTTAAAACACTATTTGCTGCACGCTGTATCTTGAGTACTCGAAAAGGCAACAAACCAGTCTAGTCTCAAGACCTCTAAGTTATGTTATGAAATACATGTAGATGATAAAATGTTTTTTTAATTCTGTTAAATTTTTTGTCTCAGGATTTCGCATTGTGTATCATTTGCTCGACAATGTAAGCTTATGTACCGGAAAAACAACCACAAAACTAGCTCCAGGTTTTTTTTTTACTTGTATTTTTTATTGTTCGATTACCTCACTGGGTACTAGACTTGTCACTGAATGCACAGCCCTTTGTAAATAAATTCTACTTACTTTTTATTTATATACCTCATTTTATGATGAAGCTGTGTCGAATGTGCAGCAAATACTTATTGTCTGTATTGTTTTTTATTTGTTTTTGTGATATTACACAGTAGACCAATTTGGTTTTGTCATGCTCTTTTATAACACATCATTTGTGTCTCAATAAATAAATTATTGGTAACTTTGGTTTTAATTTGATAGAGAATTTTGTTACCCTGATTGAAGAGGGTGATGTAGTTGATGAGATACCATCATAACTACCATTTGGCCAGGCAGGAGACGTTGCCCTAGACACTTTTTTAAAAAAATAATTGTGTTTGAATATTTCAAATTTCATGGCAAACAAGATTCTGTGAATGCCATTTTAGAGAATAATGATTGCATTGTCCTAATGCCAACTGGTGGTAGGAAAGACTGAGTATTATGAAGTTCTTGGGATCATTCTACCCAAATTCAACATTGCTGTTCCTGTGATTGCTGATACATGGTTCCTTTCTTGGCAAACGTGTGGTAGCATAAAATTCCCCTCAAAAGTCTTCTGAAGGGGTAGTTTTTGACCTGCTTTGGAGTTGCAGAGGAATACAAGATCATCTAATAATAATTATTATCAATGGACACAGAATTACCTTGAAATGCAAAAAACGTTAGTATAGATGGTTCTGCATAACTACTAACCCCCAACCCCCTTCCTAGAAATTTTAACTACAAAATTACAATCAAGCTACAAGCATCTAATGGAAAGAACAGTAAAAACAGGCCCCTGGACAAACTGGAAGAATATGCAGTAAAAAACACTACACTACAATATTAGTAGGCTGATGTCAGGTCTATTAACAGTGTCAAGCAATGAAAAATGCCAGCTGTTTTAAGTATGGACCAGAAGCTCAGCCATGCAAAACCCTCACCACTTTCCATAGCTTCCACCTCACCCAGAGAAATAAAAAATATTGCTCCTATTCCTTAAAGTAGTGTCACTGGACATTGAATTGATGTATGTTTTATGAACTTCTGCCGTGATTATTGAACTGAGATGTGGTCAGGTCATTGAACTATGGTCAGCAAAAGAGAAAACCTGCACCCCTAATCCAACTTAAACTCAATCTGTCTTGCCCAAAGTAATAAAATACTTTGCTCCTATAATTCCTTTATTTTGGACAATGGAA